AAAAAAAAAAAAAAAAAAAGAAAGAAAGAAAATGGGATAACCTAGTCATGGCTCCAAGTTGCAGGTCTAAACGTTACGTAACTTAGATGACCCTCTTTGAGAAAAAGAACATAAACTGTCTTACTTTTTTTTTTTGAGACAGGGTCTTGCTCTGTCACCCATGCTGGAGGGCACTAGCATGATCACAGCTCACTGAAGTCTCGACCCCCTGGGCTCAAGTGATCCTCCGACCTCAGCCTCTCATGTAGCTGAGTCCACAGGCACATGCCACCATGCCCACCATATTTCTTTTTAAGTTTCTGTAGAGATGGAGGGTCTCACTGTGTTGCCCAGGCTGGTCTCAAACTCCTAGGCTCAAATGATCCTCCCGCCTCCGCCTCCCAAAATGCTGGAATTACAAGCATCAGCCACCGCACGCAACTAAAAATACCTTACTCTTACAAACACATATGGTCAGGTGAACTCATCGCTAGGTCCCCATAGGACCTTGGAAGGGGCATGTGCCAGAGTCCTGAAGCCTGAGCTCAATTAATTCTGCAGGTAATCGGCCTTAGGACTATCGCAGTCCTCAAGGGGAAAACCAGGGCAGTGCACAAGTTTCTGGACTCCGGACCCAATGGGGCCGTGCTGCTTCCACGTCTGAACGTGAACAAGTTAGCTGCTTCTCTGTGACTCTTTTTTCTCATCTGTAAAATAGGGATGATACTGACAGCTCCTAGCTCACAGACAAGGCTGTTGGCGTGCCTGGCACAAGGTCAGTGCTCTCTATGAACTGACTGTGGTTTCTCATAAAGTTGCTGGGAGATGAACTAAGAGAACATGTGTAAAGCGCTTGGCAGGAAGAATGCATTTAGGGAACCCTGCTGCCCCGAAACGGTCAGAACCACGTTTGGCAGGTTTTAAGTGGCAGGGCTTAAGCTAGAGTCTGGCCACTGCTTTTCATAAAGAAGCAGAGCAGGAAGGTCCCAGGCGTGTTCCACAGACAGGGTAACAGGCTGTGGCTCTCAAAGTGAGGCATGGAGAGGCCAGGGCAGGGGATGACAGCAAAGTGAGGCTTGAGAACACAGTGCGGTGGGTCAGCACTTATGGCTGAGATCTCCCATCCACCACCTCCACACACACGCCAAGCAAGACCCACATCTGGAAGAGCTGAAGGGTCCCTGGCTGAAGTGAGACTTAAAGGCAGAAGGAAGAGAGAGAGAGAGAGAGAGAAAGAGAGAAGAAAGAGAAAGAGAAAGACAAAGAAAGAAAGAAAAGAAAGAGAAAGAAAGAAAGAAGAAAGAAAGAAAGAAAGAAAGAAGAAAGAAAGAAAGAAAGAAAGAAAGAAAGAAAGAAAGAAAGAAAGAAAGAAAGAAAAGAAAGAACGAACGAATGAAAGAAAACAGGAAGGAAGGAAGAGAAAGGAAGGAGGGAGGGAAGGAGGAAGGGAAGGAAGGAAGGAAGGAAGGAAGGAAGGAAGGAAGGAAGGAAAAAGGGAAGGGAAGGGAAGGGAAAGGAAAGGGCAAAGCAAAGCGAGGGATGGAGGGAGATAGTCTATCCATGGATTTATGCATAGGACTATGAAAACTCTGTGACTGGCCAAGCGCAGTGGCTCACGCCTGTAATCCCAGCACTTTGGGAGGCCAAGGCGGGCAGATCACTTGAGCTCAGGAGTTCGAGACCAGCCTGACCAACATGGTGAAACCCCGTCTCAACTAAAAATACAAAAATTAGCCGGGTATGGTGGCGGGTGCTTGTAATCCCAATTACTTGGGAGGCTGAAGCAGGAGCATTGCTTGAGCCTGAGAGGCAGAGGCTGCAGTGAGCCGAGATCACACCACTGCACTCCAGCCTGTGTGACAGAGCAAGACTCCGTCTCAAAAAAGCAAATAAATAAAAAATAAAATACAATACAATAAGAAAGAAAGAGAGAAGAAAAGCATCCACAAATTCCACTGGCAGAAACAAGCAAAGGATTGGGCATTTCCCCGCTCCCCACTGCCCCCCACACACACACACATGCACCTCCAACAGCCCCATCAGAGAGGAAGCCGCTAGCCCGGCCCCTGGGGGTCACCCACCTTGGCCAAGGCAGCCCCGAGCAGCCCCCCGAGGAGCTGTGACACCCAGTACGGGAGGAGCATCACCAGGTTGAGGCCTCCGATCAGCATGGCTGCCAGGGACACCGCAGGGTTGAAGTGTCCACCACTGTAACCCACAAGAGCAGAGGAAGACATGAGCCCAGGGCTGACAACATGGCTGGCACTTGAGACAACGTGTCCCAGCCAGCCCACCAGGCTGGACTCGCAGGGTGAGTCAGTGTAGGGCCCAGCTCACATACAATGAGGCACCAGATTGCTTCCATTTTCCCTGAGAGGCCAGGTGGAGGGTAAGAGATAAAAGGCAGGCTCTAAGCCCTAAGCCCAGCCCCCAGGATGGCCCTGGAGGAGGGGCGTGTAGGGAGACCATCCCTTAACTCCTTCCTGGCTCCCTCGGAGCCTCCCTCCAGCCCTCTAGATAGGTGGCCACAGTTCAGATTGAGACACCAAGGCTCCAAGTTAGTAGCCCAAGAGCTGTATCCAGGCCTCCTCTTATGATTTGTTTGTTTTTATGAGACAGAGCCTTGCTCTGTCACCCAGACTGGAGTGCAGGGGCATGATCTCAGCTCATTGCAACCTCCACCTTTTGAGTTCAAGCAATTCTCCCGGCTCAGCCTCCCAAGTAGCTGGGAACCACAGGCACGTGCCGCCACGCCCGGTTTATTTTTGTATTTTTAGTAGAGGCGAGGATTCGCCATGTTGGTCAGTCTGGTCTCGAACTCTTAACCTCAAGTGATCCACCCACCTCGGCTTCCGAAAGTGCTGGGGTTACAGGCATGAGCCACCGCACCTGGCCCAGGCCTCCCTTCATGAGCAGCTAGGCCCTGAATCAGAGAGCTTCTGATCGATCAGTTGAACTGCTCAGCCAATGAAAACCCTACTTGTGGTCTGAAAGTGTGATGGGTGTAAAATGCAGATTCAGAGTTCAGACTGGAAATGGCATTGAGAACCCTGGCCTGGGTTCAAGGCCCAACTCTGCCACTGTAGAGCTGTGTGACCTTGGCCAAGTTACATAACCTCTCTGTACCTCAAGGATCTCTGCCTGATAAAGCTATTGCAAAGATATAAAGAATTAGCACGTGTAGAGTCCATAGTACTATCTATGTAGTTCACACTCAGTAAACGTCAGCCATGATTATTGCTCACATTTGTACCCCTGCACACAGAGCTCCAGCAACTTGCTGTGGTCACCCAGCTAAGAAGCGATAAAGGTTCCATTCAGTCTCAGATCCGTCCAAAGGGAAAATCATGTACTTTTTGTTTCACTCGCAACCTCCCTTGGATGTCTAAAGAGATGTGGTTTGGTTTGTTTTGTTTTGTTTTTTGAGACAGAGTCTCACTCTGTCACCCAGGCTGAAGTGCAGTGACGTGATCTCAGCTCACTGCAACCTCCCCCACCCAGTTCAAGCAATTCTCCTGCCTCAGTCTCCCAAGGAGCTGGGACTACAGGTGCCTGCCACCACGACCGGCTAATTTTTGTATCTTTTGTAGAGACAGGGCTCCACCCTGTTGGCCAGGCTGGTCCCAAACTCCTGGCCTCAGGTGATTCACCTGCCTCGGCCTCCCAGAGCGCTGGGATTACAGGTGTGAGTCAGTGCACCGGCATAAAGAGATGTTAAAGCTCTTTTCCATTCTGGTTTTCTGAGAAATGGTATTTCTGTTTCCTCATGCAGATCTATTTTTTGAGTGAGATTTAATACAAACCAACCATGTCCCAGATCACCCTGCCAGGCACCCCATTCAAGATCTTCGTCGTGATGGCTGGCTCTCCTGGGAACTAGCAGATCTCCCCATGGAGCCTCTACGCAGACGAGAGCTAAGCCAGAGGGCCTGTCCCTTTCCCTGCCCCTCCTTCCGGATCACCTCTTGACAAGCCGGGACCACTGCAGATCCCTGTGTACCCAGGTGGGAAAACCTGGCTCAGGTCTTCTGCACATTTCCGCTTTCCCTAAAACCCCCGTTTAGCGGTAACAATCACACGGCAACCAATACCTATTGAGTGTTTGGTGTGCGCCAGGTGCTCTACTTCATTTAATTCTCATGCCTCCCCCATGAGGTCCTTGGATTTGAGCGCTGTAGCCAGATGGCTTGTTCTTGACTCTTGCTCTTCCACTTTCCGGCCCTCTAAACTTGGACAGATTACACAGCCTTTGCCTTTTGTAGCTGCAAAATGGGCTAATAACAGGACCTACCCCACAAGGCTTTTATGAGGATTAAATGACTAATATCTACCAAGTGATTAGACTAGTTCCTGGTATATGGTTAGCAGTATAGACATGTTGGTTTGAAAAAAAAGTCATTTAAAAGTATGCTACTGGCCGGGCACGGTGACTCACGCCTGTAATCCCAGCACTTTGGGAGGCCGAGGCGGGGGGATCACAAGGTCAAGAGATCGAGACAATCCTGGCCAACATGGTGAAACCACGTCTCTACTAAAAATACAAAAATTAGCTGGTCGTGGTGGTGTGTGCCTGTAGTCCGAGCTACTCGGGGGGCTGAGGCAGGAGAATCGCTTGAACCCAGGAGGCAGAGGTTGCAGTGAGCTGAGATGGCACCTTTGCACTCCAGCCTGGATGACAGAGAGAACAGAGAGAGACTCCATCTCAAATAAATAAATAAATAAGCAAGCAAGCTACTGTTCCCATTTTATAGATTGGGAATTTGGGGTTTAGAGTGACTTGCCAGCCAAGCATGGTGGCTCACACCTGTAATGCCAGCACATTGGGAAGCCAAGGCAGGAGGATCACTTGAGACCAGGAGCTCAAGACTAGCCTGGGCACAGTGAGACCCCATCTCTACAACAAAATTTAAAAATTAGCTGGGTACAGTGGTGCATGCCAGTGATCCAGCTACTCAAAAAGAGAGTGACTTGCCCAAAGTCACGAGCTCACAGGCTTCGGGGTCTGGAGTTGACCCCAGACAATCTGACTCCCAACCCCATAGTTACCCACAGTGCTCCTTCAAATCCTGAATAGGTATGCACCCAGGGGTCCTTGACAACAGCTTTGCTTTCCACCCCCAGCGCCCCTAGTCAGCACCAGGCTGAATGCTGGGAGCCAGTCTCACCTGATATTCCCCAGCGTGGCAATCACGAGCCCCAAAGCCAGCCCGTGGGCCAGGGCAGGCTGCAGCACCCCAGTGTCCATCCCGTTCTCGATGACCGACAGGCACCCGATGAAGATGAAGAGGGTAGAGCCCAGCAGTTCAACCAGGCAAGGCTGCACCAAGCGTTCGTACCAGGACGCTTGCCATCTGCCTCCCACGCTCGGCTCCCTGGCCTTGCCATTGCCAAATTCAAGCTCGCACATGGCTCTCTGCCATAGGGAGAAAGGGACAGCGGACACGGGTGGAGGCTAGCCCAGATTTAGAAGGGCCCGGCCCCCAACCTTGAATTAATTCACAGCCCCCCCTGCTCTGCCACCCTGGAGAGGAAGATGCCAGCAGAAGGCTCACCTCTCCGGACATTGGGATCGGACGGCACAAGCCTCGGGCTCTTGACTGAGCTGCTGGGAAATCCGCACCTGCCGTCCAGGACGGTCTTATCTCCTAGGGACAGGACCTGCTGATCACACTACAGGCTCTGCCCCTTTTAAAGGGCTGCAGAGGCTCAATGCACGTGCAGAGAAAGCAATAAAGCCCAGGTAGGAGGCGGCTCTGTAGCCCAGAAGAGGAAACTTTTTTTAAATCTCAACAGGGCAGGGTGAGGGAGTCAGAGATTGCTAAACTTTCTGCGAATGAGGGAAAAACACCCCCGCTTGGCTGTGTCATCTGGGAGCACACTCCATGCCATAGAAAGTGGGAGATGGGACCAGCACCCCAGCTCCCCACAGTCCAAAGCAGACCAGCGCATGTAAGTGGGCCCCATCAGGTTGGAACCTCACATGTTAAGAAACAGGAAACTCAGCCAGGTGCGGTGGCTCACACCTGTAATCCCAGAACTTTGGGAGTCCAAGCTGGGTGGATCACTTGAGGTCAGGAGTTCTAAACCAGCTTAGCCAACATGGTGAAACCCTGTCTCTACTAAAAACACAAAAAATTAGCCGGGCGTGGTGGTGCAGGCCTGTAATCCCAGGTACTTGGAGGGCCGAGCCAGGAGAATCACTTGCACCCAGGAGGTGGAGGTTGCAGTGGGCTGAGATTGTGCAACTACACTCCAGCCTGGGCGACAGAGCAAGACTCTGCCAAAAGAAAGAAAGAAAGAAAGAGAGAAAGAAAGAAAGCAAGGAAGGAAGGAAAAGGGAGGGAGAGAGAGAGGGAGGAAGGAAGGGAGGGAGGGAGGGAGGGAGGGAGGATTGAATTAGCTGGGCATGTTGGTGTTTGCCTGTAATCCCAGCTACTCAGGAGCATGAGGTATGAGAATCACTTGAACCCGGGAGGCAGAGGCTGCAGTGAGCCGAGATAGCGCCGCTGCACTCCAGCCTGGACGACAGAGACCCTCTCTCAACAAAAAGAAAGAAAGAAAGAAGGAAAGAAACAGCAAACTCATCTTTAATTATTTTTCCACTGATTCCCGTGGCCTCAAACACCTGCAGTCACCCTGACAGCCTGAGCCAGGACCGAGTGTATAGATGATCCTTCACTGAGCGAGGCAGCGGAGACTAGCAACGAGTAATGCAATGCAGCAGCAAGACCCATGGACTTTGGAAACGGGCTGCCTGGAGTTCAGTCCCAGCTCTGCTGTAAACTCGCCTTGTAACCTTTGGGCACATGACTTGGCCTCTCTGGCCCTTTGTTTTCTCAGGTGTGGATGTTAGTGGTTGCACCCATGTCATAGGGTCGTCAGGAAGTTTAAATGAGCTAATATGGGTGAAGTGTTCAGGACAGTACTAGACACACAATACCAGTGTCCACTAATTTACAATACATGCTTAGCTGTAACTAATAGCTAATAGTGAACACATTCTATGTGCCAGGCACTGGGGCTAAGTGGCTTCTATTATCTCATTTAAACCTCACTGCCACCCTGTGAAGCAGGTACTACTATTACAGCTTTTTCACAGATGAGGAAGTGGAGTGTCAGGAAGGTTGAGTTTCCCAGGATTATACAGCTTATATGATCACAGAACTTGTGGGCTGTCACAGAAGGATAAATACTGTATATGATTCCATTTGTATGAAGTACATAGACTAGTCACATTCATAGAGACAGAAGCAGAATGGTGGTTTCCGGGGCCTGAGGGGAAGGAAGGATGAAGAGTTTGTGTTTAGTGGGTACAGATTTCCTGTTCGGGAGGAAAGCTCTGGAGATGGATGATACAGTGCCACAACAATGTGAAGGTACTTAATGTCACTGAACTGTACACTTAAAAATAGTTCAAATTGGCCAGGCACAGTGGCTCACACCAGTAATCCCAGCTCTTTGGGAGACCAAGGTGGGCAGATCACTTGATTTCAGAAGTTTGACCTCTGGCCAACATGGTGAAACCCTGTCTCTACTAAAAATAGAAAAATTAGCTGGGCATGGTGGTGCGGGCCTATAATCCCAGCTACTTGGGAGGCTGAGACAGGAGAATCGCTTGAACCTGGGAAGCATAGGTTGTAGTGAGCTGAGATCGCACCACTATGCTCCAGCCTGGGTGACAGGGCGAGATTCCATTTTAAAAAAAAAGGTTAAAATTGCATATTTTATTTTATGTATTTTGCCACAGTTGGAAAAATAAAATACTTGTGGGCTAACCCACTACACTCTACTGCCTTTCTAGGAGGGATGAATGGATGGATGGATGGATGGATGGATGATGGATGGATGGATGGATAAGTGGATGGATGGGTGGATGGATGGATGGATGGATGTTTAGATAAGTGGATGGATGGTGGGTGGACGAATCGATGGGTAAGTGGATGGATGGATGGATGGATGGTTGGTTAGATGAGTGGTTGGATTGGTGGGTGGATGAATCGATGGGTAAGTAGATGGATGGATGGATGGACAGATGGTGGGTGGATGGTGGGTGGGTGGATGGATGGATGGATAAGTGGATAGCTGGATGGTAGGTGGATGGATGGATACATGGGTGGGTGGATGGATGGAAGGAAAGAAGGGAAGAAAGAAAGGAAAAGAGGAGGGAGGAAGGAAGGGAGAGAGGAAGAAGGAAGGAAAAAAGATGAAATGAGTTCCTTATTCATTCATTCATTCAACAAACACTTAAATAGCTGCTGCAAGCCAGTCACAGTTCTAAGGGCTGGCTGGAGATGTAGCCGTGAATAAGACAGGCAAAGATTCTGCTCTGCACTCATAGCTCTGTCTCTGAGTGTCTGCATGCAATGACAGAGAAGTAATGCTGGAGCTAAAGGAATTTTAATGATCATTTCTGACATTTCTCAACTACTCACTACGTCTCCAACACCATGCTAAACGCTGTATATATTCATAACCCCCTATGAGAGAAGTCCTATCACTTAGTATCACCATCATCAGATGATTAAAAAAAGGCACAAGGAAGCTTAAGAACTCACCCAGGCTTGTGTACATAAAAAGTATCTGCTTCAGGCAGAAGTGGACACATCTAGACAAGAGTGGACAGTTTGTTGACAGCCCATGTCAGCGAGAGGCCCAGGAATGCAGGGTCTCTGATCGACATCTGCACCTCTAGGAAGGCTATCTTTAGCCCTGTTCTCTCCCTCCTCCATGTCCCACATATCCCACAGCACATGGTACAAGATGTTTCTTAGACCCTTCCTTCCACGTTCCTGTAAATAGCAACATAAGACAACATCTGACCCAAGGCTTCCCCATCCCCCTCATTATTTGCTCAAATCGTGCCAGTGCTGCTTCCAGAATAATTCTCTCTTGTTTTCACCCACGCCTTCATCCATTCTTGCTTAGTCCCTTGAACAAAGACAAGCTAGGCTGGGCGCAGTTGCTCTCACCTGTAATCCCAGCACTTTGGGAGGCCAAGGTGGGAGGATGGCTTAAGGCCAGGAGTTCAAGACCAGCCTGGACAACATAGGAAGAGCCTGTCTCTACGAAAAAAAATTAAAATTAACCAGGTGTGATGGCAGGCATCTGTAGTCCCAGCTACTCAGGAGACTGAGGTTGGAGGCTCACTTGAACCCAGGAGGTTGAGGCTGCAGCGAGCTGCGTTTGTACCATTCCACTGCACTCCAGCCTGGGCAACAGAGTGAGACCCTCCCTCAAAAAAAAAAAAAAAAAAGAAAAAGAAAAAGCAACAAAGAAAACTAACCAACCCTCATTATATACCTGCCAGGTGCTTGGCCCTGCACTGGATACTCCAACATATTCTCTCAATTAATACTTAACGATAACCAATGATGTTCCCCATGGCACAGGCAGCAACCCCTTGCTGGTGTTGCTATGGTAATATCCTCTTCTGGTCTCCTGGCCTCACCTGTCATCCATTCTTTTAACACTGGGAGCCTGCACTTGAGTCTAGGTTTGAGAATCCAAGTGCTCTGTCCCTTTGCTGTGCAATCTCTCAGCCTCAGTTTCCTCTTCTATGAACATGAGCTAATGGTGGTACCTATCCTCATAGGGTTGCTGTGTGGATGAAATAAGACAATGTGCTTGGCACAGCATCCAACTCAGAGCAAGCACCCAATAAATACTAGCTCTTACTATGGTCTCTACTAGTCAGAGCGGGCTAACTGCCTTACCAAATAACCCCAACATTTCAACATCTTCACATATTAAAAATAGAATCTGGTCGGGCATGGGGACTCACACCTGTAATCCAAGCACTTTGGAAGGGCGAGGCTGGCGGATCATCTGAGGTCAGAAGTTCGAGACCAGGCTGGCCAACATGGTGAAACCCCACCTCTACTAAAAATACAAAAATTAGCTGGGAGTGGTGATGTGCACCTGTAATCCCAGCTACTCAGGAGGCTGAGGCAGGAGAATCGCTTGAATCTGGGAGGCGGAGGTTGCAGTGAATTGAGATCACACCACTGCACTCCAGCCTGGGCCACAGAGTGAGACTCCATCTCAAAAAAGAAAAAGGATTCTTTGTTCACATAATGGTCCATGGCAGGCTCGTCTCCAAATGGTGACTCAGGGATCCAGGCTACTTCCATCTTGGAGCTGCCCCATCTAGGTCCTTCTCCAGCAAAATGGGAAAAAGAGAATGTGGAGGGCTGTGCAGGAGATTATTATGGTCTGGGCCTAGAAATACTAAATCTCCCTCTCATCTATATATGATGAGCTCAAACTCAGTCACATGGCTTCACCTGACTGCAGTTGAGCCTGGGAATTGTAGTCTAGCCATGTTCCCAGGAGGAAAAAGAAAGGCATTTTATAAATATCAAGCAATTTCTGCCACATAGTAAAAATTGTTGCTTTCCTAGAGACCATGGTTCTAGTTGAGTTTTTTTGGTGAATTAAATGATTCAGTGTCTCCCATGGTTTCAAGACAAAACCAGACTCTCTCAGCTAGCCACAGAGGCTTCAGCTCCTAGTCCCTGAATCATCTCCACATGAACCCAAACAATTTATCAGATAAGCCATGTTCCCTCACCTGGCCCTGTCTATGCTGGTCTCTCTGTTTGGAGTCCTTGTTTGCCCTCCTGGTCAACTTCTACTCCTCATTCAGATCTCAGATCAGATACTA